GTTTTATCTGTTATTATTGTTGTTGGGTATTTTGTTCCATTGTATATGTTTATTAGTGTAAATTTAAATTATTATTTGAGTTGTTGGAGGACTAGAGAGGCGTTAAGTACAGGTCCATTTACCATTGTTTTGATTGACCCTTCCTCAGCCAACTTCCTGGAAACGACTGACAACTGAAGCTGCTGGAAATCCTGTAAAATAATACGAACTGTGAAACTGTTGTATTAAATACATATTATATATATTAAATATATATTAAATATATATTAAATATATATTAAATATATATTAAATACATATTATATGTATTAAATATATATTAAATGCATATTATATGTATTAAATATATATTAAATACATATTATATATATTTACATAGTATTCAGTGTATTGACTGAGTGAGGGAGTTCGGACTGTAAATTAATAAAACATATTTAATTCTTCACATCCTGAAGTGCTACTGAATCAACTGGAGGGAAAACTCTTCTTAAGCTCCGCCCATCAACTTCCTCCTTTCCTGTTCTAGGTTAATCAGAGAAAAACACATTGTAAAGAAGTTTAAAATATTAAATAATTGTTATTATTATTATTTATGTTGCTGTTATGATTATTACCGCACATTGTTCAGCTGCTCTTGAATATACAGGGGAGCTTTAGTACAGCACAGTTCGATGACCACAAATCTGCCGGATTTACGAGGTAGGAAACTGAAGGTGAGAACAGAGTCCTGCCAAGTCTTAAACACTCTCTCTCTGCTCTGCGTCAGTCACACATCCACCATAACATTTGGAGGAAAAGGACTTTGCACAAAAAACAGAACAACCTGGGTCCCGAGCACCACCAGTGAAATGAGGATTGGCCTTCTTTAACTTTTATCCGATCCATCCGATTTTAACACATCAGTTTACTTTAATTCGGACAATATCCTGAATGTTCTCGTGAATTTGTTTGCCGGTTGAAAGTGTGAAAATCTAACTTAAATACGTTGCCAGAGAATGTATTATTTAAAAATAAAATCCGCCCCTTCCCTTTTACATTATTTCTGTCGATATACAACGTTTTTCGATGGTAATATTAATAACTGAAACACGCAGGAGGAGGCCAAATAAAACTTAAATAGTTCATTTCCCAACGAAAATCACTCGCGATGCTCTACAGAAACTTTCTTACTTCCCTTCAGGGAATTTTTAAAACTCCTATAGGATGCTCTACTATAATTAAGTTATCCATACAATTAATCATGTATTATAATCTCTTACTGGTAGTGGATCAATATCTGTGAGATAATGGATGTCCCTATACACGACTCCACAATTATATTATTAGTAAAGTGTCCGAATTCTATACTATTTTTACAAAAAAAATATGCGTATCTATCTTTAACAATAATCTCATGCTGAACAAAACGTTTTTAAGTT